TGCATTGGGAGCTTTCTGGGTGAAACACTGGGAACATGTGCGCAACGTTAGGTTACAGCACCCGTGTGTGCTGCACCTCCTGTAGCTGCGTCCAGTGCCCTGGGAGCTGCGGGGACACCGTGTCCCAGCACAGCTCCTGGCTGCACATTGCAAAACTAATGCACTCCCAGCCTGGCCTCCTTCCTCTGTTGGGAAAGCCACCCTGAACAGTTTGCCCGGTGCAAAGGATGGGCTGGATCCTGGCATGGTGCTCCCAGAGCCGGTGGCCAAACCAGGCAGGATGCAGAACGCCTGTTCGTGGTGCCCAGGAGGTCAGCAGCCTCCGCTGCCCTGGCCTGCCCGGCTCCGCAGGACACAGACCTGGCACTCAGGGCACGGAGCCGGGAAACGGGCGCTATGCAGACCCGGTTGCTCGGGCACAGGGTTGCACCACAGCATGTGCAGCCTGGCCCCAGCACAGGGGATGCAAACCATGCCAGCAGCTCAGCTCGTCAGCAGCGCTTCGGGCGCGCTTCTGTGGTGTGCTTGTTTCTGCCACGCTGGTGGGGAGGAGGTGGCTGCTCCTGTCCTGTTTCCCAGCCTCTCCCCACTGTGACCCCATTTTTCCTGCAGTGACTCTTTCCAAGGGGACTGGAGCATGCTAGTCCCCATCCCCCAACACCTTTTGCCCACTTTTTCTGCTGTGAAATCTCTCGGGGAGAATTTATTGCTGACTGTTCCAAAATATTTTTGACGTGGAAGCCAAGTCTGTTGCATTCCTTCATGCTGGCCAAAGCCACTCTTGCTTGAAGACCCTGGGAATGAGCCATTGGGGAATTTGTTTTGCAAGAGTAATTCCATTTCTATGCAGACTTCTGCTCTGTTGAGGTTTTTTTTGTAGGTTGGGAGCTGGGTCCTCCCAGAGTCCCTCTTCCTGGGAGGAAGGTTTGACGTGTTTTTGCCTCCCCGGGCCACATGCAGGCAGGGGGGCAGGATGCTGCCCACAGCCCCCCGCGTGCTGACCCCACTGTTTGAGGGCTGGACTCGGTGCTGGGCACCACCTCTGCTGCTCTGCGCATGGCAAACCGCACACGGGTAGCGGTTCAAGGATCTTGACCTGAACTTTCTGGAGGAGGGAGATAAGTGATGTATTTTCACTGGCTGCTAATCATTAACTCCTCGGTGGGCAGCTGAGGAGCTCTGGCTGGGCATCCCAAGCCGCGTGGCTGCGCACGGGCAGCCGTGAGGGCTCGTCGGAGCTGGGGCAGGAGGTTCCTCAGGCTCCTGGAAGTCGCTCCCCATGTTACTCATTCACCGTTACCTCCAGGGCAGGAACAGGATGATAAAGCTGCGGCGTGGCCGGGCAAGCAGAGGCCACAGGCAGGGACCTGGCACCGGTGTGACGCGTGCTGTGTTCGGCTCCGTCCCCACAGCCGGGGTCTGATGGGGCAGTTCTGTGCAGGAAGGGGGTTAACCCAGGGAGCTGTGGTGGGAGGAGTGCCTCCTCTCTCAGGGGACCTCATTTGCAAAGGTCCTTTTTTTCTGATCTCCACCAGAGATCAGAAAAACATTGCTGGCAGCCAGGAGCTCCCCAGGCCTCCCTGTCTGAGCCTGCGGGGAGCTCCAGTGACAGGTTGGAACGTTTCCCATCGAGTCCGGGTTAAATCTGCCTGGCAAGGGCCATGGCAGGAAGGGGTTTTTCATCAGCTTGTGGTTTCCACTGATGTGGGGGCAG